GTCTTGACCTATTTTTTGGGAGGAAGAAAAATCTCCAAGTTGAGTCACAAAATTATGGAAGCCACAGGACAATTGCACAGGATTTTTAAAAATTTAATTTAAAATCCAGTCACCTTTTCTTTTAGGTAAATTAGGATAAATACTCTGATTTGTATTAGAAGAATCCCTCAACTTTAAAAAAGCCTTATCATTTCAGCCTTGCACCATGATGTGATAACTGAGCACAATATGTTCAACGCCAATACACATTTCTTAAAAAATTAGGATACCCTTCCCATAGGGAAAAGTGGGGGAGACCAATACTGAGGTAGACTTACATAAAGGAGATTGCAATAGTCAAATCCATAAGTTAACCATTGGATTGTGTATCAAAGTGTGCAGAACGATCCTCAGGAATGGGCACCAGTGGAGAAAAATACGGCTGAGATAGCTTGATGCTTCTGGTAGTTTTTCCAGACTTGGGGGGGGGGGGCATAGTTTCACACTGCCTGGATCCTGCATGTGACTGGATGGGGCTTTGCTCACTTGCACAGCCAGATTCCTGGCAGGCCATGGACCAGGGGTTGGGGACCCATTGTATCCAATAGTCAATAAATGTATTCAGGAAACTCAGAAGCAAAGATGATCTGTTTTTCTTATTACTGCTCCCTGATAGCTGTATTTAAAGGCCTTTTGAGATCAGGCAATTAAACAGTCATCAAAATTAATAGCAGATGATAGCCTAGTTGTCCCTTAACTTTTCCAATTCCCCTTTAACACCATCTAAATGGTCAAGCATCACTCTCACATAGGAGCAAATTCAAGATATACTTCTGGGAAGCAAAACTTGACAAGCACAGCAGAAATTGACCAGAGTAAATACACATATTGCACTATAACCTCTGTTTGAGAAGTAACATCTAAACCTCAATTTTTTTTGGTGCCAACTCAGTGTTGACTCCTGATGACTGCCTGGACTAGTCCCTGCAGTTTCTTTGGCAAAATTTTAGAAGTGGCTTGTCATTGTCTGTTTCCTAGGACTAAGAATGTGTGAATGGTCCAAGGCTATCCAGCTGCTTTAGGCTTAATGTGGAATAAGAACTAGTGTCCAGGTTTCTAGCCTGGTGCCTTTCCCCATATCAAATGACTCATCTCAACCTCTAATAATACCATATCAAATAGAAGAAAGGTCTGCACACCTTGGTAAACTTCCTTTGAAAATTCTTTCCTTTCCAAGACCCTCAATTCAAATAAATTCAGATGCTATTCTTTGCTTATTCAAACCAAGATATCAATCAGAGCATGAAACCTGCCCAAGACATTTTCACATTCCTTTGTTTAGTCTTAAGCCTTTCTACTTCTCACTTCTTTGGTAAGGAACCTTCCCTCTCTTTACAGTCTACATTTTTAAGAAATAACATGCCTTTATAAAACTGTGATTTTATTTGTTGCTATTTATTTTAATTGCTGTTTTAAGGGTATATTTAAATCTTATATCATTTGCATGTATTTTATGATGAGCTGATGATTTCATGATGAGCTACTTATTAGATCAGACTAAGAAACCAATACCATACAGACCTAGTTATCTTTATTGTAAACCTTATAACAATTACCATACTCTTTCAAGTCTGAATATGCTTCCCTCATCCCTCTTTATTAAATGTCCCATTTGAGACATTTGCTCAAATACATTTATAATTTTATTTATTTATTGGAATGGGATTATGCCACATTTGTTTTATTTTAGCCTTGGTAGTGGCTCTTCCTTCTATCCTTCAAGGTCCCGCTCTAAGACCTTCACAGCTTTATCTACTTTCTGTAAAAAATAAGACAATAGGTAAATGATAGGGAAGGAAATTAATAGTGGCAGGCCATATTTTCCATGCATAGAAACATAAAGTTGTGCTGGATTACTCCCAGCTGTACATGTTGAACTCCAGAGAAGGCACAGAACACAACAGACAAGAATTGTCACTACAACAGTATACCATCAGATGTGTCAAGACATAGAGTGCATAGTAAAGATAATCTGGTTTAAATAAATAATTTGAATTTTAGTGAAACTTTTGGCTGATTCTTAAATGTTTGCAAATATCACTTCTCACCTGGCATAATGACTTTATGATTCATGACCCAAGAATTCAGAGCATTCCAGATCCAATGGGAAATTTCGTAACAGACTCCTCATCTGCCTTTTCCAGTAATGGAAAAGCTAAATAAACCACTATAAAGCCTATGACAGGCGTCTTCAAACTTGGCCCTTGGCACGCTGGCTGAGGAATTCTGGGAGTTAAAGTCCACAAGTCATAAAAGGGCCAAGTTTGAAGACCCTGGCCTATGAGATGTAGCAAATAAGTCCCATGTTCCCTAGAAAATAGTATTCAGAGGCACATTGTATCTTGCTTCTTGTATAATTGAAGTGGTAAATCCCAGATACTTTTCTGGCAAGAAAAATACAACAGTATAGAACCATTTTATATCATTTTTCAAAACCCTAAACCAGCTGAGCCTCATGGTTAAGCCAAGACTTTCTGCTGTTTGCCCATGAAGATTAAGACTTTTGCAATGGGACTGGTGACTCAATGTGTCTTTTGTTGCTGTTAGTGAAAGCCCTCCTCCGGTGCAATGCTTCTAGACACCAACACGAGTATTGCTGTCTCCCTCTAAGTTCCTGTCCCACCTTTTTACATTTTAAAAAAGTTTCAAAGAAATGCAACCGTGGGCAAGTGCAAGCAAAGATTCCAGCATCATCTTGATTTGCAAGAACAGGTCTGGACCACCAGTGGGCCCGATACCCCTTCTTTAAAAAAAGTAGAATTGTTTTTTGGAATGGTATCTTGCAGGGCTCAGGGAGGATCAAGCAGGATGCTGAAAAAGCATTATTTTGTATCTGCTTATGGGGCTCTGGCAGCCATTTTATGAATAGGCAGCCCCCCACCTCCAGCCATTTTGCAAGGACTCCTCCACTACTACATTAACAACAATCCCAAGCACCGCAGACATCCTCGTGCCTGCCTGCCAGCGACCACAGGACATTAGCCCGAGGCGCTGCGCGTCAAGAGAGCGCCCACGCGGAGATGCAAGAGGCCGATTTCCGCAGACCGCAGGGAGGAAGTTGACTGGCGACTAAGTCTCGTTCGGCTGCATTTCGGAATCGTATCTTCGGCGCTGTTCCCGCCTTGCCCTTCGCAGCCGCCCGCAGTCCCGCCCCGGGAGGAGGCGGAGAAGCAAACCAAGGTCAGGCGAGCCTTCCGCGTGCGCCCGTCTCCCTCGCTGGCTTCTAAGGGCGCCGGGAGCAGCGGGGCTGGGCGCCATGAGCGAGCGTCGCGGCTCTCGCCCTGGATCGTACGGGCCAACCAGGCCGGAAAGCAGCGAGGTAAGCGGGTAGAGCGCCGCCGTCAGGCCTAACAGCCGGCGGCGAAGGTCTTTTGGAGGACGCCCCTTTCGGCAGAGCGGCGTGACGCGCATCGCGTCAGGCGGGGCTAACGCTGCGGTGGGATTGGCCCATTTCTTGGGAGATAAATCTCTACGAGCATTCTGACACTTCTGAATGCAGTACGTGGGATTCGGCTACTAACTTCGCAGTGTTTCTCAACCTTGACAATTTTAAGGCATGTGGACTTCAACTCCCAGAATTCCACAGCCAGCATTGCTGGCTGTGGAATTCTGGGAGTTGAAGTCCACATGCCTTAAAATTGTCAAGGTTGAGAAACACTGGGCTAATGATACGTGCAAGAAACTGGCTGGCACTCATGGGGTTTCCGCTCCCTCCTTGAGATCCTCTGTTCGCGCTCCAATAGGCTTCCATCCGCTCGGTTTTAGAAAAGTCAATATTTTCATTTTATAGTTTTTAAAGCAGTCGCTGTTGATCTTGGTTTTTACGGGCATCATAATTGTATACGTACTTAGTTACAGAGGTGGTATAAAAATTATGACAATGTTAACCAGTTCCAGGTAACTGAACTCTGCCCAAATTGGGGGTTTTGTCCCATGACTTAGTATTCTGTCTGGTACTATTGGTCAGAGATTGATGATGCATTTGTCCCATATTTTATTTACAATGGGCATCAGAGATATTTATTTAGATGCTGCCTGACTCACTTCGTGAAAGCAAAACAACACACAATAAAAAATAGAATATCTAACAATAAGAAAGATTGCAAATCCATCCAGCAACAAACATCTTACACCCCAAAAGGACTCCAACCAGCCTTCAAAGCTAGGCATCTGGGTCTTAGATTCCGATTCTTTGGTAGCTGGGTAATTTGTAAGCCTGCAAGTAAAAGCACAGTTAAATATACAGTACAAACTGTCTAAGCTCAATACACAGTAGCAGCTTACCATGTCTTCAGGGCATCACCCAATCTTCACTAAAGTAACAAAAAGCTCCATGGTACTGTTATTTTGGCCTAACAATGGTTGGGTGAATGTAGAAGACCTTAGTAAGGAAATGATCTATAGGGGTTTCCCCAGACATAAGGCTTATTTAGGCTTTAAATTGTTAACACGGTTCTAAGTATGATGCCTGAGCTGCTATCTGCTGTGTATCTATAGTACAAACTACCAGCTTTTAGATGGGACAGTAGACATCGAAAATGCCTGGGTTTGACTTGGTTTCCCCAAATGCTTTAAGATCGGAGTTGTGATCGCAAAGCTTGGCTTATTACAGCATAAAGTGAGTTCCTCAAGTGTGCTACAAGAAAGCTCGTGCTAAAAGTGTACATCAGAGTTGTGTTGTTGGTATTGTTATCCTTCACCACATTGCACACATTCCCTGAACTGAAAGCTGTGTTCTTGTACTCGGTGTGTAAGTTGTCCCCATCAAGATAGTCTTTCAGTAAATCAATATCTGACCAACTCAGAACCTCTATGCAGGGATAGTTTCTGGATTTAGAAAGAAAAGATTAAGATAATTGGTGTTTGGATTAATAATAGATGAAAGCTAAGGAAAGCCAGTGATATTGTTGAAAATAGCATATGTATGATTTCTTCTTTTTCTTTAGGAGTTGCCCACAGATGGACTTGAAAATGGCTTAAAATCAAATGAGGAACCTCTCTTAAGGAAGAATCCCCATCGATTTGTCATCTTCCCAATCCAATACCCTGATATATGGAAAATGTACAAGCAGGCTCAGGCTTCTTTCTGGACAGTAGAAGAGGTGAGTTGCACAAGACAAGTTGCAGCAAGTGACCAGCATTAACCCAAGGGTGGCTGCAATGTCAGTCTGGGGACTACATTTCCTTTTTCTGTCCTATCTCGGGGCCATCAGAGTGTGACCAATGACACAATGATGCCTGCAGGACTTAAATATTCATTCTGCCCCTTACGTTTTAATGTCAAAAGTAAAGGCTTGAAGTGTTCAACTGTAATTTTTCAGATGGGATTTGGGAAGATACATGTGGATTATTCACCCTTAGCCTAACACTAGCAACAGTGTTAGGAACACGAAAATGGCTTGAATACCAGACGGTTTTGTCAGAAAGAGTATAATCAGCTTGTAGTAGCAATCACAGATTTCTACCCAGAGCATAGGTAATCCTTTTATTTCCATCTTGGCAGAAAACTGACTTTGCACCTTGGTCCATATGGTGAAACTCAAACCCTGTAGTAGATCCCTCAAGACCTAACAACTGAAAAGTCCTTGATATATTTAGACCATAAGGCAGCCAAGAGACAGAAGCAAAGGTGCAGAAAAAATTCTGTTCACTGACCTGGTATTCTAGTTTACATACTTTCCTTACATTTAGGGTAACACGCTTTTAAGGAAGAGTCAGTTTCTATTATAAAAAGGCAGCTACCATTGCAAACAAACAAACAAATGCACTGCCTACTTGCATGAGCAATGAAATATTTGAGGAATTTGTTTACTTGTTTTTGTTTTCTGGTATTGTTCAAGGATAGAAGGGATTTCTGGAATAAATCATACAATGAGTTGTATGTGTGCTCACTGTCTTTCCCTCTCCTTTAAAGGCAAATTATGTGTCAATTTAGGCAGAGAATTTCTAGTAAACTAGTGTATACTCACCAGGTAACCACCAGATGATTAAGATATAACTCCCAATTATCTACAGACCCATCCTTGCAGAGGACGGTGAGGGTAATAATAACCCATTACATTTAAGAGTAATCCATTACATTACAAGACACCACATGGGAGAAGAGGGTTAGAAGCCAGGAGAATCTGCAAAAGCAATTAAAAGAAATTCAGAATGGCAAGAAGAGCTGTATGATAGAAGCTCCACCCTTTTTAATGTGTATTACAAGACATGTAAAAAGAGTGGGACTTTGATGGTGAAGTTGCAGCCACCAACTTTATCAAATGCCCCCCCCCCCATGAATGCCCCTTTTAAAATTATAGGGTATATTCTCTTAGACATTTATTTTGCTTTTCAGAATTATCAGTAAACAATGACAATTTCAAGTGTGTAATCTACCGTATATTTCTTTTCTTTTTTTTGTAAAGGTTGACTTGTCAAAGGATCTTGTTCATTGGAACAACCTAAAACCAGAAGAGAAACACTTCATTTCGCATATCCTAGCTTTTTTTGCTGCCAGTGATGGAATTGTTAATGAAAACTTGGTGAGATGCTTCCTGTGATGTAGCCTATAATATTTTGATGTTATGTTTCTTTTTCACTGCATGCAGTCAAACATCTATTTGTAATTGTACTTTGCATGTATTTGATGTCCGTCATGAGGAACATTGTGGCTATTTTTCTATAAATACTTAACTTTTAATGAAGTTTGTACTAATCACACTGACTTTCAACTGCTTTTTCTTGGGAATCCTATATGTATATATCATATTCGCTTTACCCAGAGATGCTCTTTTGGGAGAAAACAGTCATTTTTATAAGAATCATGGCCTCATGCAGGGTGTGAACCTGGTCTTACATGAACATTTAGATATCTGACTTCTTTCGTTGGCAGGTAGAACGTTTTAGCCAAGAAGTGCAGATCCCAGAAGCTCGCTGTTTCTATGGCTTTCAGATATCAATAGAAAATGTTCATTCTGAGATGTACAGTTTGTTAATAGACACCTACATCAAAGATCCCGAGAAAAGGTAATTAGCGTAAGTATTACCATTATGTAGAGGACTTATATATTTCTTTTTTTTTAATAGTTTTCATGTATAGTCTGGTTTAGGTGTAATGGGAGACTGTGGTTTAACATTGCAAGGACATATCAGTGGAAGTTTGTATTTTTTTAATATGCTTATAAGGGAGAGAGGAAGAGTTTTTGCTTGATCTTAAGAAAATCAGTATTTGCTGATTTTTAGTTTTTTTATTTTAACTTTTTTATTTTGTTTTTACCCTATCTTTATTATGTTTATACATAACTGAAGGTGTCAGACATTTACTATTCCTTCCTCCTCCTATTTTCTATATAACAACAACCCAGTGAGGTTGGTTGGGCTGAGAGAGAATGATTGCCAGCTTTCATGCCTAAAGTAGGAGTAGAACTCGTAATCTTTTAATTTCTAGCCTGGTGTCTTAACCACTAGACTACATTGGCTTCAAGGAATGAAAAATAAATTAAGAATACTAAATTATAGTCTTAGGCCCTGGCTTATTTTCACTAATTATGATGAACCCAAACTGGTATCATTAGAAACGGAAGCATATGATTTTCACTTTTCACTCCTTCTGGAGAAATGGAGAAGAAGAAAGTGGAAAAATTGTTTGTATTTAACATTCAGAACTCATATAGTTGTGTCACTTTTTTCCATGGTGAAGTATATGAAGATCCTTTTTGTGTTAAAGTAGCAATTCCTGGAAAATGTTTGATTTTAAATTTTTGTTCAAACTGCAGAAGAGATTTCTAGCATATGTTTCTGTAGTTTCAGAAGATCCTGTATCAGTGAGAAATGAAGGTGCTATGTTAAAAGCATCCTTGCTATTCTTGGATGTAAGCTAATTTGTCACAGCAAGTGACCTATGCTTTGGTGTCAGTCTCACTACCCAGATTTACAGTCTTTTGGTTTTCCTCCATTCCTCCTCCCTCCTTCCCCACCCTCTCAGGGACTTTTTATTTAATGCTATTGAGACAATGCCATGTGTCAGGAAGAAAGCAGATTGGGCAATGAAGTGGATAACAGACAGAGAAGCCAGTTTTGGTAGGTGCCTCCATTGTATATATATATGTATGTATGTATATAAAAACTGTAGATGGTTCCTCTAAGCCAGATATGTCAAACTCGCGACGTCATGTGACGTCGCGCAACGTATCGGAGCTTTTTTGCCGTTGCTGGCAATGGGGTGGGCGTGGCTCCGGTATGATGAAACCGCCCCGCGGGCTGGCAGTTTGACACCCCTGCTCTAAGCATATGAGTATGTCCTACTCCAGGAACAAGTATAATCAATAATATACATTTAGAGATAGACAGTAAGCTTTTTGCTTCCATCCTAAATTGATGAAACCTGCTAACGTTCATTCGTATATATATATATTTTTAAAAAACTTTTTACTCTGAAATATGCAACCTATTTTCTTTAAGTCAAAGTGCTGTTTGTACTTATCGGATGCTTCCCACAGGGTATGACAGTGAACTAAACTTTTGCCATTTCAGTAGATTCCATATTTACATATATTTATTCAATCTTCTCTAGATCCTAGAAGTTGACATTAACCTCTTAAGAATATGCAGATTCCAGAAGTCTCTGTGTTAAAGCTATTCCTCTGGGGAATTAAACAATTAACAGGTTTTCTGAAAAGATCTCTTTGGAATTAACAGGACAAGCCAAATGAGACAATGAGTCCAGAGTCTTTAGACAAGATATAGTAGATGCTCTTTCCTTGTTAGCGAGATTGCACTTTAATTAAGATTTGGAAGGATTGTGGGTTTCGTCAGTGTTTCCCAGCTTTTGCACTCCAAATGCATTTACTTCACACCCTGGCTGAGTAAAATAGGAGAACACTGTTTTATTCTTTTCTGCAATTTGAAGGTTGATTAATTGTCTGAGAACTTAACAGATTCTGATTTCATTGAAACAGGTGAAAGAGTGGTTGCGTTCGCTGCTGTCGAAGGAATCTTCTTCTCTGGTGCTTTTGCAGCCATATTTTGGCTCAAGAAGAGAGGGTTAATGCCAGGCCTTACTTTCTCCAATGAACTTATTAGCAGAGATGAAGTAAGGTGTGGGGCAAAAATATTCAAGGTTAAATATGATGCTTTCAGAGAAGCAGTATTACTTGTAGACTCTCTTATTTGTTGAGAGTTGCACAGTCTGCAAATGTTATTTATTGTGGCTGGTTGCATAGTCAGCCAGCTGTTTAGACTGGCTTTGGCACTTTTATCCAGCTATTGAGTCTTTTCCAAGGACCTGGGATAAGCAGATGTTTTTAATGATGTTAGAGAATGGTTGCAGGATGTAAGCTATTCCAAGTAAAGCTACCTTTTGCAATTGATTGATGGGGATTATTACAATTTTGGTAATGAAGTTCATGATGATGTTTCATACACCATTAAAATCTGAAAAACCCCCCACAATGCTGGTTAACAAGAATATTTTGAATGCTATCATTTTTTGTAGTACAACAATATGTTGTGGTTTGAGAAAACACAATTCCCAATTCTACCAACATTTTTAGGATTGTATGTTTTCCCAGTCTCCAACATACTACTCTTAAATTTAAGATATTGAGTGGGGAATAAATATGACTTCTGAATTAGAAATGGTATAAACTGTACTTACAAGGAATAGGGGTATGCAAAGCAAATTCGTGAATTAGGCAAGAGATGTCTGGAGACATCTATATAGACAAAATTAATTAATGCATATCTTATTTTATTTTAAGTTTAAAAACACAATTGTTGCTGTTAACATGCATTGTTAGTGGATTATTTTAACTTTTAAAAATAAGCTGCAAAGCCTTAAAAGTAGTTCTTACATTAAAAAAAAGTCTTCTGCTTTTTCAAAAAAAGTTCTTATGTTTCTGTCTTGTTTATTTTTTTAAGGGGCTCCACTGTGACTTTGCTTGCCTGATTTTTCAGCATTTAGTGAATAAACCTTTGGAGGAAAGGGTGAAAGAGATCATTGCCAATGCGGTTGAAATTGAAAAGGTAAGGAGATCGGACACCTTTGCCTGGACATAGTTGTGATCAACCTCAAAATAATTTATAAGACCACTTGGCCTATGATGAACTTTAATATGAGGTACTCAGTTGTATTTTTCAGAATTTGCATAATACACACCCTAATGTGGCATTTGTATTGGGTTAACTAATCCTGTAGGTTAAAATGTGGTGAACTAGTTGTGATTTAGTGTGTTATGCAAACAACTGCTCTATCCACGTTTTATATCCTTGTGATTTGCTGCTGTGATTGTTCAAAAAAGTATGGTATGAAGGTCAGGTCAGTTATTTGCTGAATGAAGCATAATTGGCTGAGCTCACACAATATTCTAAACCATAGGCATGGTTTACAAACCACAATCAAATTGATTAATGGTTAAGGTAAATACTTACTATATATAGTTGCTCTTAAGGCTTTGGTGGAGAAGAACTCTCTCTCCCTTTCTTCTCTCCCCTTCCCCCAATATCCCACCAAAGCCTTAGGAGCAGCTCCAGAACTCTCTAAAAGCTGCCACAAATCATTTTTTTAAAAATATATATAGGTTTCATGGGGTAGCCCTTGCTGGAAAAACTATTCAAAATGGCCCCCCCAAATATGGGGCTTTGTGGAATTGGAACTCAGATCTCACTGGTTCTTATTCAACATGAACAACTACATCACAGTGACTCAGTCTTCCAGAATTATTATGGTGAACTGGGAAAATATTCCTGGAAAATAATTTCTTTTTTTTTTTACTATGCAGGAGTTCTTGACAGAGGCCTTACCTGTGGGGTTGATTGGAATGAATTGTTCTCTGATGAAACAGTATATTGAATTTGTGGCTGATAGGCTGCTCCTGGAACTGGGTTTCCCTAAGGTAAAGTAATTTAGGAAAATATTTGCATGGAGCTTTGGCCTGTGAAGAGAACTTTGCCTAAATCTATGTCAAGGTAGTGTCTGACCTCTTGCTTTGTAAGGAAAATGGTGTTTGTTCTGTATTTGTGTACGGGTAGCATGTTATCTGTAGGTAAAGCCAGTGGCTTTTCTTTTATCGATCATATTTTCTTGCAATTCACTTACAAGCTTAACGCCAATTTTAGAATATTTACACTCCAATTTTCCACACATGGAAAAAACAGACTTCGCAGTAGCCTATATCAAGCTTGGAATCTTAAGGTATCTGAGATACCAGCTTGGAATCCCAGCCACCATGGGAATTCTGAGAATTGAAGGGCAAACTGCAAGGTATCTTTTATTGAAAAAGCTGGCCTAAGTAATTAAAAATAGTTTTAACGAGGTAGGGAAATAGTGCAAAGCACGGCTTTTGGAGTTCAGTCTAGTGTCTCTCCATTTATGGCCATAACAGGCATCTGGTTTATCCTTTGTACTGTAACGAAGGAACATATTGCATCTCCCTATGTAGTGGCTCCCAGCGAATTTGGATCTATTCTGTTCGGTGTTGGGAGAAATAGCCTGCTGATCGGCAGGTAAACAAGCTGTAGCCCCCAGTGCTTAGAGATAAATGTGCACAAAAATATACACATATTTGTGCATTTGAAGAGATTGTGAATTTTCTTGTGTTGTTTAAAAATGCAAACTGATATGGAATGTGATAGAACAGGTGATGTTTAAAAAAAGATGTGAATATATAGAGGGCAAAGTAAAAAGATCTGTCAATTATTACAAAATTGAAGGCTTTTAGAAAACTTGCAATATCTTGGTTTTCTCCTGGTCATCCTTGTCAGTGCTCCAACACTGGAAGTTTTTAAGAAGAGACTGGACAGCCATTTGTCTGAAATGGTATAGGGTTTCCTGCCTGAGCAGGGGATTGGACTAGATGACCTCCAAAGTCCATTATTATTATTATTATTATTATTATTATTATTATTATTATTATTATTATTATTATTATTATTATTATTCATTATCATCATCATCATCATCATCATCAGCCAAATGTTCAGACTGGATTTTTGTCTACCTATCGAGTCCTTACCAAGGACCTCGGATAGGCAGATGTGGATGTTTGATGGTATTACAGATATCGTTGCAGGATGGAAGCAGTTTCTAGTAAGGCCACCTTTTGCGATTGACTAATGGCGAATTTGTCAGTGTCAATGGTGTTCAAGTGGTGCTCCAGTTGTTTTGGGATTGCACCCAAGGCGCCTATTACTATTGGTACTACCCTTGCTTGCCTTTGCCCAGACTTTCTGTTTCTATTTGTAGGTCTTTCTATTTTGTTATCTTCTCCAGTTCGTTCTCATCTATTCTGCTGTCTCTAGGCACTGCCACGTCCACTATCCAGACTTTTTTGTCTTTTTTATTGACAATTGTTAAGTCCGGGGTGTTATGTGGCAGGTGCTTGTCTGTTTGAATTCTGAAGTCCCAGAGCAGTTTAATTTTACCATTTTCTATGACTTTCTCTATTTTATGACCTCACTAGTTCTTGCTTACAGGCAAATGATATTTCTTGGAGATCTTCCAATGCACCATTGTTGCTACTTTGTCATGCCGCTGCTTGTAGTCAGTCTGTGCGATCTTCTTGCAGCAGCTTACCAGGTGGTCCACTGTTTCTTCAGCTTCTTTGCATAGGCGGCACTTACTGTCTGTTGCTCTCTTCTCAATTTTGACTTTGTATGCATTTGTCCTTAAGGCTTGGTCTTGTGTAGCCAGAACTAGTCCCTCGGTCTCTTTCAATTTTCCTGCTCTTAGCCATTGCCAGGTCTTGTTATCTGCTTTCCCAGCTATTTTTTTAATGTACTGGCCATGTAGTGCTTTGTCTTCCCATGCCTCTATTCTGTTCTTCATTTGGTCTTACTTGTAGGCCAGTTTGGTCTCTCCAGTAGTCAGTAAGCCTTCCTGATATACTAATTTCAGTGCATCTTCATCATTGTCCTTCAGATATTCTTCCAAAGCCATTTTTTCTTCTTCAACCATCTGATGTACTTGCAGCATTCCACACCAACCTATTTGCCTTGGTAGGTAGAGTCTGTCAATGTCACTGCGTGGATGAAGGGCATGATTCATTGTCATTATTTTTCTGGTCTTTCTATCCATTGCTTTTAGTTCTGCTTGAGTCCAGTTCACTATTCCAGCTGTGTATCTAATGACTGGAATTGCCCGGGTGTTGATTGCCTTCATGGTATTTCCTCCATTGAGTTTGGACTTTAAGATCTTCTTCACTCTCTTGATGTATTCACCTCTAATCTTTTTCTTGACTTCAGTGTGCTTGATGTTGTCAGCTTGAAGGATACCCAAGTATTTGTAGTAATCTTCCTCATCCAGACTCTTAATGTTATTTTCGTGGGGTATCTTGATTCCTTCAGTTTTCACTATTTTTCCTTGTTTGATAGTAAGTGTGGCACATTTGTCCAAGCCAAACTCCAGTGCAATATCTTGGCTATATATAGGGACAGTGTTGAGCAGCGATTCTATTTCAGATGATGTTTTTCCATACAGCTTCAGATCATCCATGTAAAGGAGATGGGATAGTCTGGCAGATGTTTTTGATGTTCTATAGCCATGTCCTGAGTTATTCAGTATTGTTGACAGAGGAAACAGTGCAATAACAAATAGTAGTGGTGATAATGAATCTCCTTGAAATATTCCTCTCTTGATATTAACCTCTCCCAGTCTTTCACCATTGACCTACACCTGTGTCTTCCATTGTGCCATCGATCTTTGCACAAAGTTTCTGATGTTTCTACTGACTCCTGTTATTTCTAGGCACTTGATTATCATGTGGCAGAGAGTCAAATGCCTTTTTGTAGTCAATCCATGCCGTTGTTGTTGTTGTTGTTGTTGTTGTTGTTGTTGTTGTTGTTGTTATTATTATTATTATTATTATTATTATTCAGAGAGGAAGAAACCAAACTGGGGTAGGGAGGTAAATGGAAATGCTCCCTAGCAATCACCAAAGATTAATTTGTCCTTGCAGTGCCTCATTCAGTTCTTATGTTTTAATAACAATTTTGGTTTTCTCAGATCTTTCAAGCAGAAAACCCTTTTGACTTCATGGAAAACATTTCCCTGGAAGGAAAAACCAATTTCTTTGAGAGGAGAGTTTCAGAATATCAACATTTTGCAGTTATGTCCCAAGCAAATAATAAGGTATTTACTTTAGATGCTGACTTTTGACGCTGCCTACTTGGAAGACTGACAAAGCCAAACTTCACCATCAATGACTACGTTTTATTCACTATTGATAGTTGATAGAAAAGTTTCTACAAATAGGTTACAGGTTGTGTGCATTTATACACTCTTAACAATTTATTCTGTAACATCATGCAACTTTTCTAAAACTATATTGTGACATTTAGCTGATCATTTTGATAAAATCCAATCCCATCATTAGAGTGGAAAGCTTTTATGATGATGAGAATGACTACACTATAACATTCCTTCCTACCTCAGTTCTTGAACTGATCTGAGATGAAAGACATACTCCTTTGTCTTAAAGGAATATTCCAGCATAAAGTCTTGGTTAATGCTGGGATGGGAGACCATCAGAGAAACTTAAGACTACAAGCTAGACTCGAAAAACATTCTAGGCAATGGAAAACCACTTCTGCATTGTTTCAAGGATAGCAACATGGACATGACCACGTAATCAGCAGGTATCGAAATTGACTCAGTGGAGATTTTGTTTTTATGCAAGAGAAAATTGTACTTGGGAAAATGAAGAAGATGACAAGAGCACTTTATAATCCTTTAAAAGCATCATTCATTTTGGTTAGTCAAATCAGCACAATGTCTGAACTAATGTGTTTTGGAGGGATTTTTTTCATTTGGCCTCAAAACTTCATTTTGACTTTAAACTTGATTGCAGCAACCCACATGACATAGAACTGATCACCTAACACAAATGTTTGGCTTATTCAGCACAATGAACCAAGATAGCTTGTTCTTGTTATGCAAACATAGCTATTTTCGTAACAAATTAGTGCTTAAAGTAATGTGTGAACAGTATCTGTGTTTATATGACATACTGATCCAAAAACTATCCAGGGCATTTTAAGTTAGTGTTTTGCCTGAACCCAGACTTTATAATTAGTTTTTGGTGTGTCATGCAGACTTAGAAAATTGGGGTAATTGAATAATTTATGCATAATGATATCATATGAACTTAGCTTCATTGTATGTAGTGGGATAAGATTTAAGCTTTTCCTTACTTAGCATGTGAGCAATGAAAAACAGATGACTACAAAAGTATACTTTAAAAAGAGAAAATATAGAAGTAATTGACAAAACCGAAGCTTCCTTTGTGAAACATCATAGCTAATGTTTAAGTGGGAAAACCAGTTTTGTCAAACTTTCTGTATGTATGAGCATCCAATAAAGGGAGTGGGTAGGGCAGAGGGAGAGATAATTTAATAATGCTCAAGATATCATTGTTTTTTTCTTCTGGAAGTTGCACCTAGTACCTTCCAGATATCTTGGACCTTCAGCTCCCATAATCTTTGAGTTATGAGACAGTTTTATTCATCACTGTTCCAGTCCAAATAGAATCACAATTTAAGGATGAAATATATCATAGGGATGAAATAAATCATACCCTAATATTGTCAGGAATTGATGAAGGTTTGACACATTGTGCTAAGCCGTTGTAAGGTTTGTGATGTGTGATCAGTTAATTGTGGGTTACAGATTAGAAGTTGAGTGTATTGTTTGAACCCATCATAGCTTTAAAGCTGAAAAAGTTGCAAAATTGCTTTTTCAGGAACTGTAATAAGAAAAAGCAGTGTTAGAAAGTCAGTGGCTAATGAACTCAGCAAGTTTTACATTAGAGTAAATATGTCAATAATTGTACTATCAGTGTGAGTTCTTAAAGATCTGAAGTTTATAAAGCTTTCCCTTTTTTGGTCCGTGCAAATTTGTTTGGTCTTGAATTCAGCCTTAGTTAAGGAAACAGGCCTTCTCATCCACTTCATGGAAGTAAATGAGATATTTTGTTGGATGTATTTTAAAGCTTTTTCAAATATTCCTGTTTCATGTATAAGATTCTGATTTAGTCATTTTATTAATGACATAAAACTTGCATTAAGTCTTGTAAAATCTTTTTAATTCAGTTTAATTTATTTTTTCACCAGTTAAAATGTCATAAATATGAACTAGAATGGACAATGTAAAGAATGCTTCATAGTTTGTCACTCATACATTTTGAAAAAAAATACAAAGTGATTTAAATAAAAATCATGAGAACAAACTCTATGGTTTTCCTTTTGTGAATTTTCTGTTTGGACCCATTGAGGATAACATGCCACAATTTACACAAAACTCTTAACCAGAGTCAAAGGCTGGTTGTGGAAACATATGCTCTGAACCCAAATTCAATCCCTAAGATGCCAGAGACAGTAGAAGTCAGGGATATGAAAAATGTTGACCTTTACCATGTTCTTTTTCAAGTTTGCAAGAATGAAACAGCTGTTTTGTGTCAGAGGGGCTGGTTTAATCATTTTGGAAGTATTCCAGGATTTTGAATATGGAACAGCTGTTGACATACAAAATACTTCCAAAGTGATTGAGAGAGTCCAAGTGGTGCCCAGAATAGCTGTTTTGCACTCAAAATAGGCAATTTGAACATGCATTTGAAATTATTTGCACACCCTATTAACCCGGAGGCAGAAATTAGCCAACCATTTTTTTCTGCCAAAGTTCTAAAATTCACACAATGTTGTAAACACAGTCTAACTATGTTGCCTGAGTTTAACTAGTCTCAACCCTAAAATATAGTTGGTTAGTAATAATAATAATAATAATAGTAGTAGTAGTAGTAGTAGTAGTAGTAGTAGTAGTAGTAAAGTTGGAAGGGACCTTGGAGGTCATCTAGTCCAACCCCCTGCTCAGGCAGGAAACCCTATACCATTTCGGACAAATGGCTGTCCAGTCTCTTCTTAAAAACCTCCAGTGTTGGAGCATTCACCGCTTCTGGAGGCAGGT